AATATTTTATAGCACCCTCGGCCCACCGGTCTATTTGATATCTCTTTCGTCGGCCCACCCGTATATGTAATACATTCCACGTCGGCCCACCTGTATATGTAATACACCCTACGTCAGCCCACCCGTCTATGTAATATTCCCCTACCTCGGCCCACCCATATATGTAATACACCCACGTCGGCCCGCCCGTCTATATAACAATATTTGCCTTACATCTCTCTTCAGCCCAGCTGTCTATAATATCCTACTCTACATATTACCCAGATGGGCCCACCCATCTCCATGAATGATCATATTCCCCCGGCCCATCCGTCAACATTAAGGATATATATATCATTGGCATACATGGGCCCACCCGTCTCCATCGGAAATAATATGAGTCCCGGCCCATCCGTCATCATCGAGAATATACACAACATGGGCCCATGATCAGCTGGCCCGTCTCATACGGGATATTATGGAGGTCGGGTGGCCCGTATAATACGGAATTTGTCACTGAAGGGGCTCATCTACCAGTGCAGACTTCGAGTGACCAAAAGATTGAGAATGCTACTTACAATGGTTGGTTGCATGATCATTTTGTTAGCTCAGTCATTGCATTTGCAGCTGATGGTCAGTTCTCTTCATTATTCTGAGTTTGTCTCCACTCATCCAATAACACAGGAAATATAATTCAATGTCGACTCAATGCTCCAGGAAGCTGGCACGATTCATGTGTTGCACAGCCCATTTACGAGAAACTTTGTATGGAGACACCATCAGGATATTACCTCGTGGCAGACACTGCCTTCCCTCGCGGAACTGACCAGATTGCTGGTCGGATTAAAGCCCCAATCAAGGCAGGTCAGCGCCTCCCAGCAAATGCAAACAAGAGGGAGAACCTGCTAGCCTTCAACCGACAGCTCTTATCATTTCGCCAGACTGCTGAATGGGGCATGCGCACACTTCAAGGTTCATTTGGACGTCTTCGTATCCCTCTTGATATCAACCATGCTGAGCAGCGAAGAGACCTGCTCAAGGCATGTGTCCGTCTGAACAATTTTCGTGCTCAGAAGGTTGGGATCAGTCAAATTTGTTCAGTATACATGCCCATCTGGGTTCAAAACAAGCAGGAGGAGGTATGGGACCATTTTGAAAGTATGTTGTTCTCTGAACAGCGTCGAAATGACAGAGTTGCACAATTCCATCATCTGTGACAAGTGGTACTGAATGAGGATTTAATTTTGTAGACCAATACAACATTTGTAGCTAATCTATCTCCTTCGAATTTGAGCTATTCTTGATGGCCTCAACATTGAATGAACCATCAGATTCCCTACCATGACTAGGGGATATAACAATGGATGATGGTGTGAATGAGACATCGAACCATGTGGAGGATGTACCAGGGGTGGCTGAAGGACGAGGTGTAGCAGATGTGCGAGGGGTCATTGGCAGGTGACGTGTTGCTCGAGGAATGATAGCACCAGTGTAACGGCCCGCACACGAGTCTTCAACAATATCATGTCGCGAGGCAATATCATGGTCATCATAATCAAAGTCATCTCCAGCATCATCAGGTGTGACCCAGATAGTGGAGCGGCCTCCATCCCTATAGATTGTCTCACGATGAACATGTTCTTGCTGCTGGTGTCCAGTGCGAGTCATAAACTTGGCCATTTCAAGCTGCATCTCGAGACGGTCAGCACGACATTCACTGTTTGAACGATCTCATTCAACTTGTGCAAGCTGGCCATGAAGCTTATTAATAGTTGCATGTGCATCACGCAAATGAGTGGTCAAAGATAAGACCTGCATAGACTGAATGGCACATGCAGAGCGCTCTTCATCTCAGACACCCTGAAGGCGAGGATCAAGTGATGCAGAAATGGTTGTGAGAAGGTCAACTCCTGCACTGCATGATGTATGAGGAGGACGAGAAATAGTAGGGGATGCTGCACGGTGAGCCGTGGGGCCAAGACGAGGCTCATGGACCTCTAGCTTGATCTGGGTTGGTTTCGTTTTTGGAAGTACTACTAAGGCCATTGTGTCTTCATCATCGTCTGAGATTTCGACTACTTCATCAGCAAGTTCTTCATCATTAAGATCACGGGTGCCAGCTTTCTCATTGATCAAGCTATCAATATAGTGTGCTCAGTCAATATAGGGAGGACATTCTGCATCTCCCATCGGCTTAATGGTTCGAATGAACTTTGAATGATAAATCAGATGAACGAACAGTCAAATAATGTCCAAAGAAAGACTTACTTGCTTGAATTTGAGTTCAAGAGATTTTGATGAGTGAGCTGGACGGTCATTTTCCTGTGCCTACTGTGCAAAAGCTGCTTCGACAGAATTTCAACTCTTTGCACCCACAGGTAGACACAATTCACAGGCATCAAGGAGGGCATCAATATCATCTTCATTATAATTGGGTGCTCCTTGTTGACGGCTGCATTTTTTGGATGAGTCAGATGCAGTAGGAGGTGCAGATGGGGCCTTTCACTTTCGATTGACTAGTTGGGCACTGTCCACGACATGTGCCTTGCCTTTGCCTTTGGTAGTTGGGATAGTGGTGCTCATGTGACAGCTCCCTGCAACCCTCTTGGCTGGCTTCGCAACATCACCAAGGAAAGTGGACAGAGGTGGAAATTCGTCCTTGTCATCCTCGTGTTCATAGTCAATTAATGAGGGATCGATTTGCTGCATCTGCCCTGTAACAGTGGGCTTCGACGAAGGAGGGAGAGGGGGTGGATATGTGAATTGATTCTGTATTGCAGCAAATCAGTTTGTTTCAAAGAGATTGAGACTTGGAGATGTACCTGACCTAAACCCCGGTGGGTCATGTGAGATTCAAAGCCACCAAAGGTAGCACTAAAGCCTGGAAGCTGTCGAGTGAAGAACAGGATGAGTGCATTGATTGAAATCAACAGAAATGAGCACATACCTGGTTATCATTGGGATGGTCTGGGCCCATATTCAAAGGTTGTGTGAAAATGTTGTCTGTAGGAGTGAGTTGAGGTGGTGGGTGATAGACACGCATAGCGCGAGGATAGTTACTAGAGTCGGAGAAGGTCAGACGTGCGATGAACTTTATAGTCGTCAAGAGAATGAGACTGGAAGCGGTGCCCTGGAATATATGGTTCATCAACGAAAATTTTCCATTCATATGCAACAGGAACTTACCTGAGTGACTTTTGGGCAGTAGATATAACAGTCGACGTACATTCTGCCTTGAAAATGAGCTGAAAATGAATTATTGTCAATGTGCGTACAATGATCTATGGAAGTGTCAGTCATACCAACATCGTTGTGGTGTTTGAAAGCAATTTGGAACATGTTTAGAACATGATTTGAATCTAGAAAGGGGGTCCTGCCCCCCCTTCTAGATATGAATCTAGAACTGGGTCAGTTTGATATGTGGACTTACAAAATACTGATGTTTGACAGTGGCACTTTGGCATGAGATGTTTAGAACTGATATTTAGATTTAGAACGATGTTCTAAACATTGCGGGAAGTCATCCAATGACATGGCTGACATCAGTTGAGTTGAGTTTTTGAGAAAACCATTCATGAGACAATTGTCAAGATGTGTTTTCATGGAAAATAAAATTTATCATTGACAGGTTTCAAACCTGCACATTCCAAGAGAAACAGATTTTGACTCCACTGATTACTTGACCATTTCATCTTTAGCAGGTTTTGAACTCACACAGACAGATTTGGATTCTGTTGTATTGACTGCTTGGCTAAAACCAGTGAGATGCACTTCCAATGAACTCATTCAGAAGTGAACCCCCAAGGAATAGTATGGGTCACCATGATTGATTCTTTTATTCTACTCTTATTGCAAAAGACATCAAACTTCTTCTGGGGCTCTTAACTTTAAGATCTGTTTATCTAGCAATTGCTCTGAAAAAGTGCTGATGGCAGACCACCATGGTAGGCCAATGATGTTTATGATGTTTTGGAATTAACAACTGGGTCATGAGTGACAACCAATACTAATGGAAGGATCACATATGATTGGACTTACAGCTATTTGCAAAAACATTTGTCTATGAGCAGATATCAAGACATGTTCTAATACAAAAAATGTGTCACTCAATAGATTTTGAATCTATTCCAGCAATGACATGGCTAACATCAGTTGAGATGTATTTTCATAGAAAATAAATTTCATCATTGGCAGGTTTCAAACCCATGCATTTCAAGAGAACCAGATTTTGACTCTGGTGATTACTTGACAATTTCATCTTTAGCAGATTTTGCACTCATGCAGACAGATTTAGATTCTGTTGTATTGACTGCTTGGCTAAGACCAGTTAGATGTGCTTCCAATGGATCCATTCACAAGTGAATCATAAAGTCAGTTCTTTCAATAGCATGGAGGATCACATATGATGATTGGACTTAAGGGGGATATTAGAAATTAATGTTAGAGCTGACAAAATGCAGAAAAATGTACACTAAGAATTCACCTCTGAATAGATTCATCAGGAGTGCATCTAACTGGTCTTAGCCAAGCAGCTGATATAACAGAATCCAAATCTGTCTGCATGGGTGCAAAACCTGCTGAAGATGAAATTGTCAAATGGTCACCAAAGTCAAAATCTGTTTCTCTTGAAATGTGTGGGTTTGAAACCTGCCAATGATGAGATTCATTTTCTATGAAAACACATCTTGATATTGTCTCATGAATGATTTTCTCAAAAACTCATCTCAACTGATGTTAGCCATGTCATTGCTGGAATAGACTCAAAATATGTTTCCATTGGGCTATCAGCCACCACTTCATTCCCATGCACGCACCTGCTGCTTTCCTGCACTTTGCATCGGCCGCTAAGCAGCACCTTTGGCGCTCATTTCTAGACCTTTGCTGCACTAGCTTCCCCTTTAGGGTCAAACACACTTGTTCTGCAAGTATAGCAGACTAGGTGTTGGACAACCTACAACATAAAGATATTGGTTTGGAGCCTATAGCACCACACTGAGTTGTAAACCTACAATTAGTGTTACCGCAGTTCGGCTAGCAGCAAACTGGTTTCAGCTTTTACGAGTTATGTCATATCTTGGTTCAGTTTTCACAACCAAACCACACCAAAACTGGTTAAGCTTGGTTAAACTGCAGCTAGCCATACACCAGTTAATTATATAATCAATTTCTATACTAATACTGTATATGAATCTACACTATGCACAGACTAACTGCTCATAGGCAGCATACAAACTAATGCAAAGTAAGGAGATGAACTATGTAAGTGCAGAAGTATTTACTATTGAAGCAAGGCGGGCACTGCAGCAGGGAGACACCTCATACACTTGTGGTGCTTTATGCTTGAATTGTTGCAATTGTCGGCTGGAATTTCCAAAAATATAGTTAGTCATCGAAAGGATCAAGGTAGCATGGTAGAAAACTTACATGCATAATTCCACATCCCTCAATACAATTCCCGTGTCCATAGCATGACCTGGTTGATACATTTTCGATTGAGTCTTATCTGATGATGTACACTTTACATTGGACAAAGGGAGACGAAGCTCTTGAATGAGTGTTCAGAGGTAGTCGTAGTCTGGCTTGGCGTGGAATGTGAGGCATTGCAGGTAGTCGAGCATCTGGTGAAATTGGTCAGGAACCCTGCAAAACAATTCATCCATATTGAGTTCCATGTCAAGAATTGTGCTACTCGTAACTCCATGGCGTATCCATGGGAGAGAATCACGGAGAAGGTATATTGATAAATATACAAGCAACTCGAGATTGTTGTGTCATCCTAAGGTGATGCCAAGATAGCTGTTGATGGCGGTGAAGGCAGGGGTGCCAATAAAGGAATGTGCATTGCCATGCATGATGTGAATATGTGTGTTTGGATCTCTATACTGTTTAGAGAGGCTAAAATCCACAAGGTAGATGATATGGGCGCTGTTTCCGGCACCAACCAATACATTTCTGGGCTTCACGTCTCCATGAATGAAGTTGCAACTGTGGATGTCCTGAAGATGAAAAATCTGGATAGCATATATCAGTTATGATGTGCATGAAGGTATCATTCGACAGACATACCAATTGATCCGCAACTGATACAACAGTATTGAGGCTGAAGGAGCATTCACAGGAATTAAACACTTCCTCTAGAGAAAGGCCAAGATAATCTAGGACAAGAGTATTGTATCCAGCTTCTTGTCCAAACTAATGCACCCTAGGAATGCCATGTATGCCAGCAAGCCGGCAGAGAACATGATACTCTTGTTCTAAGACAGAGGGAACAATGCTTTCAGGTTCAATTTTTACTGCAACATCTTGGTCATATATAAGATCGCGTGTACAATAAACCTCACCTTTGCTAGAGTCAGATCTGACACGCAATGGTCAAAGTGGAATTAACATACTATATGAACCTGATCCAACTTTATCCTTCAGACTATACCTCCCATCAATGCGAACCAACATCATAATATAAATATGCAGTTAAATTAGAATATAACATGAAAATAAGAAAACAGGATTTGTGATTTAGTTGTGTTAAAAGTGGATTCCATGCATGTTCAACGTTCAACTTTGGTCATTGGCTTATGTAAATATCAATAATATTGCAAATCACCTCGTTCTTACAATATGTAGATAGATGTAGTATCTGAGTTACATTCAGCAGCATAGCCAGCCCAACACATCACATACTGGTACAGTAAAAACTACATAGAACAGAGTACACTGATAGAAGCTGGGTCTACAAGCATTGTAGACAACAAGTCAACAACGAGGATCAGTGTCTCACAACTTGCAACTAAGGTCCAAGTATAAACAAAGATGTTGACAGTAATATCATGATGCATGAACTTAACACAAGCACTCTGGAGTCCTGGCCTATCCATCACTCTTAATCCTCTTGCTAGAGCCCTGTATCTCAGGCTCAGTGACCTCATCCCCTGGGCGCTTAAATCTGTCATGCCAGTTACAGTACCGGTCGTATCCATCCCGCAGAGCCCCCTTGCGAGCATATTGTATGATAAGATCGCAGTTGAAGACCAGACTTGGAGGGGTCCATCCATGAATGGTGCTGTTAGTTGATCAGGGATTGAGAAGTGGTCACACTGAAGATGGGACTTGGAATATACCTGAAATCCGCTTCTTCATGCTTACAGTACTGCTGCACATAGCTAACAATTTTGTCGTGTACTAGCTTCATTGCTCCCTCGAACACTAAATTGAGATGAGAAATCTGAGTTGAGGAGGTGGCATCCATCATTAGATGAATTGTCTATTTGGTTCAGTGTTGGTTTGACTAGAATTTAATTCAAAGTGGTTAGGCTTACTGCACATGCATAACATGGACTGTTGCTGGATGCAGTTACATTGAGGAAAATTATCTGTACAGTTCACGGATCCAAGTTTTGATCATGATAATCAAGGGGTGGACCCATGGATGCTTCAATGAGAACTCAATAGCCCCTGAGGCTGGGTTACCCAAAGCCTCCTGCCAGTCATCAAACTCCACCACATCTTGTGCTGTCATCAATGCTGCCTCTGACAAATTATTTGGTTCATCATAGGGCATGGATTCGTGGACTTCAATGTTGGTGAGAACTTGAACTGTCTTATACCTCTTCGCATAAAGCTGCATCTTTGACATGACTTCTTCATCTGTCTCTGAAGAACTGACCTCCAATACCCACAGCGGCATATCCTCAGCCGGCCCCTGGATCTCGAGAAGAAGGTCAGGTATGCCAACTGTCTTACCCTTCACAGTGATCTTGGTTGATGAATGTATAGGGAAAATGAGGGGCCATGATCTCTTGATGGGCATGGATTCAATTGCACGGCAGATACACATGTGCATTGGGGGGAGAAAACTACTGTGAACGCGCGAGGACAGTTCTGAAATAAGGAAGCATTTAAGATCTGGGAGGTATACTGGCCTGAGGATAAGCATCAGTAACAAGTTAATGCTAACCACTTGTATGAAAGTATTACCTACTTGCAAATAAGCTTATCGGTTTCTGCAATCTCGCTCATCACATAATCATAATCGTCTTCAGAGACATCCAAGAATCTCTGTAACACAATGGGTCGAGTCCATGCTAGCTTCATCAATTGAGAATCTTTATCAAATCAATCTGACTCTCTGTGTCGTCGTCATCAATGATTGTAAGGGCAGCGATAATATGCTTGCACAGATCTGTTGTGAATTGTAATGCTTAGATATGATCATACAAAAGGCAGCTGGAAACTCACAATCTTTACTGGTGAGTGCCAGTCTGTCCAGATCAAGCAGAGTTGGACTAGAGTCGCCAGATAGTACAGATGGAATAGCCTCAAATTTAGAGTACAAAAGTTCATCCACTGACATGGAACCTGCTGCAGTAGGTCTCCATGTAGTATCATTTGAAGGGTGATCAGGTGCAGAGTGTCTTTTACTGATAGGCTGAGGTCAGTGAGATTTATTGAATTGCTGAATATGAGGGGGGAGGGGGGGGGGTGCCGTGCATGAGTATGACTGCGGAAAGCAATACTCGCAGGAGAAGAATGTCGTCCTGACTTCCAGATATTAGGATCAGGCATTATTCATCCACTTGGCCTTTGTGGTTGTTTGAAGGTTTTTGTAGGTGGACATGAGAATGAAATGATGCACTTACCAATCCATCATGATAATTAGTCAGCAGTGCTGTGTTCAATCATCCACTTGAGTGCAAAGACACGACATATGCACGATCAATAGATGTTGGGTCAATATACAGTAGCTCAAAAAAGTGTCCTAATGTTTATGCATTTTCAAGTAATTTGGCAATGGAAAGCCAGGACTCAATGATAACAAAGAAGTATAGGGACACGTCTGGAAGCCCTATATCATGGCTCGAATTTGAGATATTTATCGTGAGAATCCAACCATATATGGGCAAGATATGGTAATTTCAAAGACATGACTTATTCAGACACTTTTTGACTTTATATTTAACCAAGACTATTCTATAATTCTAGTACTTGGTGTTACCCCCTTTGGCTTTAATAACTACTGCAATCCTCCTAGGCATACTTTCTATCAATTTCTGACACTCCTCTTTAGCAATCTTTTCCCACTCTGCTGCAACTCTCTCCCATAGTTCAAATAGCCCCTTTGGAGGATCTTGATAGGCAGCAAGTAGTCTTTTGAGTAATTCCCAGAGATGTTCAATGGGATTCAGATCTGGAGACTGTGCTGGCCATGATAGAACATTGATATCATGGTCTTCAAACCATTTTGTGGCCAGTTTTGAGGTGTGCTTGGGGTCATTATCTTGTTGAAAGATGATGTCTTCTTCATCAATCCCTGACTCCTGCATGCTTTTGAGTAGACACTCCTCTAGAATGGAGATGTACTGCTCTGCATTCATCCTTCCTTCTACCTCACAAAGAATTCCCACACCATTTCATCCCATACAACCCCATACTATTATGTTTCCTCCTCCAAACTTCAGTGTACCCTTGACTTCTTTTTCTCCTAATGGTTCTCCTGCCTTTTTCTACACATATTCCTGGCCATCTGACCTCATTCTATTGATTTTTGTTTTATCTGACCAAATAACCTTCTTCCAGTCTTCCACAGTCCAATATTGGTGCTTTAAAGCAAAGGTTAGCCTTCTCTTCCTATGAGCTACAGAGAGAAGAGGTTTTTTCTTCTTGGTTACAGCCTTGAGATTGGCTGCCTTGAGGGTGTTTCTAACAGTTTGGGTTGAGACAGGAGTGGAGATGATGGAATTGATGAACTTGGTAGCTTGAGTAGCATTTGAAGCCTTGCCAGATAGAATTTGGTGAACAATAGCTCTTTTGTTCTGTGGAGTAAGCTTGGAGGGACATCCCATTTTATGATTTTCCTTCTCTGGCATGTGTTTTTTTATGACTGTAGCAATAGTGGACTTGCCAAGACCAGTTTTGGAGGCAATTTGCCTAGTAGATAAACCAGAGGTGCAGAGAACAAAGATATTATCTTTTTGAGCAGAGGAGATGGGTTTCATGATGATTATGTTGAATGTCATAATCTTATGTGGGTTTATATATTCAAATGATATTAAAATCAGACCATATCAGTATTATGACACCACTTTAATTAAGAATATGATGTGTGAATGGTCTGATTTTGTAATTTTAATGAAAAGTCAAAAAGTGTCCAAATGAGTCATGTATTTGAAATTACCATATCTTGCCCATATATGGTCGGATTCTCACGATGAATATCTCAAATTCAAGCCAGGATATAGGGCTTCTAGACGTGTTCCTATATCACTTTGTTATCATTGAGTCCTGGCTTACCATTGCCAAATTACTTGAAATTGCATAAACATTCAGACACTTTTTTGAGCCACTGTACAAATATAAGGTCAAGTAACAAGGCTAACAAGTAAAGACTTCAACCGCATCTTCAATTCCGTCACCCTCTTCCTTCATGATCATGCTGAGGATGTTGTCTGGGAGGGAATGCTCAGCGGGTGTCTTCTCCTGAATGTTAGATATATCAGGTTCATCAGGTTCATCATCAAGAAGAAGTTTCTGAGATGTAATCCACCTGTGCATAAAATTGAGGCTTTCTTTCTTGAGGTAAAACTTGAGCATTTGCAGTGCCTCCATGAGAGTTGGACTGATGTGATTGCACTTCTTTGTGTCTGTCTCTGCACTAGAAGAAAAAACATGTTCACATGGAACAGCAGATGCTTAAATTGGTAAATAGTCCATTGTGATCTGGAATATGGTCAGGTACTCTGTCCTCTTCATCTGGAAATGAGAGGTTAACAAGCATACATACAGATTGAACATGAAAGTGTACAGTACCTCTCAGAACTGAAGAGGATCCAAGCCATCCTCAAAGAGATCGCTGTTGATGTATGAGTGGTACTCATCTTGAACCGTTCAAGGTCCGCTTTTTGGTTGGTCTCTCAACCCTAAGTCTGTAATCCCATACTGCATCACAAGGGCATTAATTGAATGGATGCCATGTGAGGGGCCCGCCTGTCGTTCCGAGATTTGAGGTAGCTTTGTCTTGTAATAGTGCTTCATCTAGAAAATTTGTAAATTAGTGATATGCTAGATGAGGATTCTAATATCCTACAAGGTCGATGATTTTGTCTTCTGCATCCTTGATCCACATGTCATCCCACCAATTTTTAATCCAACTTGTTCATATTTATGGGTCAACAACTGCGTAATACAGGCAATGAGGGGTCAGCAGTTTATGGCACATGAAATAAGCGAACTCACACATTGCAATAACATAAGCGTGCGTCCTATCCATATGAGCATAATACTTTGTCGCCCATTCTAGGCCAATATCAATGTGAGGTTTCAGGCGAGGTGTTTTTTTGGCCAGCCTCTCCCATGCTGTCATGAACAGCTCAAAGTTTGGTATAGTACTGCCTAGCTTGGGAAGGCTCTCACTAGACATAGTCTGTTGAACCACATGAGGTACCTGTGTAGAGTAAATCAACCAACTCGTACACTAGAACAGGATGCATACTCCCAGAATTTCCTCAAAGTCCTTGAGAACAAACCATTCCATGGTATTTATCTTGCATTTCACAACATCTGGTTGATCCGAGGAAGAAAGAAAGAAATCTACAGCCTGCCATGATTCATCAATAATGGGCTCATTGTGATTCTAGAAAAACCTACTGGATGCATCTCCCGCAAATGATTAATCATGAAATATACTGAATCCCATCGGGTCTCAACATCCCATAGAAGCTGCAACTCTGGAACTTTGATAGGCTTGCCCTGGGATCGAAATAGCTCGCCAGAGTTACAAGACTTGATGATATGCATGAATTCATTGCACCGCAGGCTAGATGCACAGATAACTTTGACAATCTTGCGACCATGCACAATCGGCTGGCACCTGAGAGCATCCAGATAGCCTTCCTTGTCCACAGTGTTGTCATGTAAAAACACATCTTCGAAAGCTATTACAAGCTCGTCAGGATCAACCTTCATGAATGCATCGAGGACATGCTTGACACAGATGTTGATGATATGAGGAAAACACATAATCCTACGATTCTCCATGTCAAACTTGATGTCATGTTCCTTCAATATGCACTCAAGCTCCTCCATCATTGTGGTGTTATTCTCTGCATTGTCGAGAATGAAGTGTCCTATCTGGAAAGTATCAATATTAATCTTTGTGAGCACGATGTAGAGACTGATATCTCTGTGGCCTTGCAGAGGCTATATATGCGACCTGTCTCAGAGTACAGTTTGATGCACAACTTGTGCCAATACCTTTCCAATCATTCCCTATGCGGAGCGAAACTCTCCCACACCAAGCGCCAAGTGCGCACTACCTTCCCATGCATCGGCCGCCCCAAGCGCAGCATTCTTGCGCGCGCATTAGGCGCGCTTTCCCGCACTCGAAGCACCCTATGTCGCACATCCATCCATTGTCCAAACTAACCTCACTGGTACGTGTTCATATCATTTTCTCCATATCAGACCATATTCTATTTTAATGATTGCTCAATTCTCATGTCATGGACCCTTATTACATACCTTACCTACTCGCTTCAGCTCCGCTTCAGGGGCACATTTTTAGACATATATAAGCGCCTGTAGTTCATATTTTAGAGGATCGAATCATATAGAAGCTCCCTGCACCTCACTATCAGTGTAAAGCTCATCTGTCACATGCCATAGTCAGTATCTATTGGCAATAAGAACATCCTTAACGTCTATTACAAACCTCTGCTTGTAAACCCACCTTGCGCTTTTCCCACACTTCGCGCCGCTCAAGCGCTACCTTCCCGCGCATCGGCCGCCCTAAGCGCTTCGTTCTCGCGCTCGCACCTCACATGCTTTCCCGCGCTCTATGTCGGCCGACGAACAGCACCCTTTGCACCAACCCCTAGATCTCTGCTGTACTTGCTTCCCCTTTAGGGTCGAACACACTTGTCACCACAAGCATAGCAGCTTAGGCAAGCAGACCCAACACATAGTTCAGAATACCACCATCTGGATAGTTGTTTCTACAACGACATCCGTAATTTGTTGATGAAGGTTGAGCATGTACTTTGGCAGTGATGCCTGCCCGATCAAGCAGGTAAATGATATATCATGCAAGGGATGCACCTGTGTGACTAAAGCAAATACGGTGAAATGCAAGCAATGCTGCCTTGAGCTCCAAGCCACCTGTCTTCTCCATTTCAGCTATCCAATGTGCCATCAAGGCAAGATAAGATTTACGAGCGTCATCAGACCAAATGTCAGCAGTGAATGAGATGTTCCCAAGGGCATTCTAGACGCAGATGAGTAATAGTGTATTCATAGATCAATAGTACATACCGCTAAGTCTTTCTTCAGCATTGCAAAATAGTCTTACCAAGCCTTAATGATCAGCTCTCACATCCTGGTGCAGTGAGGTATATCTTGTTGTCGGAGATCTTCACGGAGCAGGAGAAGAAGGCATCTGAACTCAACATGTTCAACAATGTTAATGGCCTATTCAATATAATTGGTCAGTAAGACAGAATGTGTCAGCCAACACCACTTACCTGGTTGTCCACGACAATGAATGACAGAAGGAATTGATGAAAAGCTGCTATTGAGAATTCAGGTATTCCATCTCGGTCCCCATGCTTAGGTACTGCTGCTCCAGTGGGATGGATTTCGAGGTTAGTTATATCACCTCCCTTCTTGACAACAGACTTCAACTCCTCGAGCGTGTATCCTAGAGATAAAGCTCGATTGACTTCTTTCACAAGAATTGGCCACAAGTTTTCGAGGGCTCTGAGTAAATACTCTAGCAAGTGCCATTTGAAAATATGCACACGTAGCCACAAAGTTCCTGTAAAGGGTAAATAATTAAAGTTACGCCTTGATTTTTTCATGGGACCATATAGAGCATCCCATGTAGCAGGATCTTTTGCACATGCATCCCTGGTAAAAAGTCTGGTAAGCAATGAGCAACAAAATCATTTCACAGGGGGCTTACCTGCAGTGCGTACATACAGAATTTTCCTCTTTTGCCCGATAGAAGAAATAATTGATATCATCGGTCAACAAAGGCTGTGATTGACTAGTGTGACTGATCAGATCAAGAAGAGGGTCAAGTGCCTCAGAAGAATCTGTGAAGTGGTCATGGGCTCTAGTGTGAATGCGCAGTACACTTGCATCTTCATCTTCGGTACCAGAGACATTGGTGATATTGAATTCCTCGCCGGATGTATCTTCTGTTGGGTCAGTATAAGTACATGTGCGTGTGTACAACCACATTTGGCTGGTACTAGAGCAGGAGCAGGAGCAGGAGCAGGAGCAGGAGCAGGAGGGGCTGGAAGTGTAGGTGCAGCAGTGGGTGCAGGCATAGTAGGCCCAGCTCAATGGTGATTCCTGGCATTTGCTACAGGAGCATTGTCAACATTTTGAGCAGTCGACAGTGCGCGTTTTCGTGACTGTGCGACCATGGTGAGAGTAGCTGAGGCTGAGAGTGACCCTGGGAGAGCAGTAAAACCACGTACCACATTATCTACCTAGAAGACAGTACCTCATGTCACATAACATATCTCGCATACATGACTTGAGTCAGACTGAGCAGCTGTAAGTCTGATGTCTGCTTTACGTCGTGACATTGACTGTTACGCCATGAGGCAGTTTAATCCACTTATAGTAGTCGATTAAGTTATCAGTCATTGTTTTGTTCATACACAGCAATGTTTGTCAATATGTTCAGCAAGATAGAATACATGATATTGGAAACCAATTCCATGCAAGTATGCAATGCAGGTGGAACAAGAAGAAGCAAAGACTTTAATGAGAGCTAATGATCAGTATCTACCCTAAGCCATCAATCTCTCCTGGGCCTCGTATGAGACCCACCCTGTATCTCGGGCTCGAGAAGCTCGTCTGCACGGCGCTTGAGACCATTATGCCATTGACAGTACCATTCATACCCGTCCCTCAGCATGGCCTTATAAATGGACTCCAGAATCAATTCCCAGTCGAGGATGGGACCCGAAGGGGTCCAGTTATGCATGACACTGTTAACATATTAGAATAGAGAACTGATCACATAAACAATAAGACGTACTCGAGATCTGCGTCCTCGTACTTCCACTGGTGTCACACATAAGCAATGATTTTATCTCGCATCAGCTTCATTACGTCCCCCAGAACTGAATTGAGATGAGTAATAGGGATGGAAGCACTATCCGCCAATGGACAAATTGTCTGTGAATTCAGCTCAGTTTGGATAGAACTAGATGAAAGGAGCTGGTAGAACTTACTGCACATGTGTAATATGGACTGTTGCTGTGTGCAGTTACATTGAGGGAGAATTCTCTGTTCGGTTTATGGATCCAAGTTTTGATCATGATGATCAAGGGGTGTACCCATGGATGTGTTGCCAATGAGTTAACTGTTCCAACAGCCGTGTTATCTGAAGTGTCTCGCCAATCATCATACTCCATTACTTGTCATCTTTTCATCTTCAATGCTATCTCCGATGAAAACTTCGGTTTGATGTGGGGCACTGTCTCGTGAACATCAATATTGGTAAGAACTTGAACCTTTGCACACTTGTTCCCATAACACTGCAATCTTGTCAACACATCAGCCTGAGTCTGCGAACAACTGATCTTCATAATCCAAAATTCTTCATCCTGCCCCAGTCCCTGGATCTCGAGAAGAAAGTCGGGTGTTCCTAGTGTCTTCCCCTTGATGGTGACTTTAGCTGATGCATGCATAGGCAAGAGGATGCCCCAGAGCCTCTTGATGGGCATGGTGTCTATCATGCAGCTGATGCACGCGTGCATTGGGGGCAGAAAACTATTGTGCATGCGTGAAGGCAGTTTGGAAACAAGGAAGCATTTAAGATCTGGGACATATGTGATCAGTAGTTTGAGTGTGTAAAAGTGTGTAAAATATTGTCTACTTGCAAATGACTTTTGCAATTGTGTTCATCACATGATCATGATCATCTTCAGATACTAATTGAAATCAGTAGAAGGTGACTGTAGAGTGATAGTTAGAAGGAAACTACAAGCCAGTGTAGAAACTACAATACAGCGAGGCACAAACAAGGCTCCAGACTGTATCTATAAATGTTGTAAGGTCCCACATTGCCTAGTCTGCTATACTTATGACAACAAGTGTGTTCGACCCTAAAGGGGAAGTGAGTGCAGCAAAGATCTAGAAGTATGCGCTAAAGTGAAGCATGAGAAAGCGCAGGTGCGTACAAGGCATGAAGGCGCGGGAATGCACGCGCGTGATGCATGAAGCGCAGGAAAGTGCACGCAGGTATGCAGAAATGAGAGAGACTAAGCTTAAGTGATGATATAATGTAAGACAAGAGATGTGAGAGTGCAAGATGTAAAAGAATAGATTTCTACTATGTTCTGCTAGGTAGATAGTGGGTGGAAGTTCAGTGGGAAGTCAAGTAAGTCCTCATAGTATGTACTGCTGGCGCTTATATAGTGCGCCTAAGCACTGTCATGTGGAGCCAAAGCGCTACCGAGTAAGGTATGTAAAGATATATATGAGTGAGAGTCCATGATAAAAATAAAGGTGGAACAATATGCTAATAAGAGAAATGGAAATATACGCACTAGAGGGCTTGGTGGACAGTGGATGGATGCTTCTGGATGGCTGGCGCTATAGGGCGCTCAAGCATGGGAACGCGCGTGCATATACATTGTGAAGCGCGGGAATGGTGCGCAAGAAAGCTGCACCTCATATAGGAATAGCTGTGGATAGCACACAGAGTGGTGCTGCAAGTTCATGCTGTATACTCCTTGGTGAAAACTGCCATATCAGGCCATGAGAGGCATGAGTCTCTACACCAGGGTTGAGTATCTTTTCGACAATACTAGACTGGGTTTGCCAAAAATCATTGCACACTTCTGCAGACGTTAAGCAAAATATAGAATTGAGCTTGCCAGAGTAGTACCATAAGACCAAGGCATTCTCAGAGCCCTGTCTACAGTGTAAAGATTGTGTGCTATAGTGTGTGCAATGAAATAGTCAATTTTGATGTTTGAAAGGTAGTTTGAACTTGGTTTGAACTGGTTTCAAACCACAGTTAGATCACGTGATAGCCAATATTTGTCATATGGTTTAGTTTACAAAAGTTCAGCTATAGCCAGTGTCCAAATTTGGTTAGAAACCAGCTAAGACCAAAACTCCGGCAACACTACCTATAATGGAATGGCTTCACTCTCCTACTAGTAAACCCACTCCTTGTTACACACTCAAATAGATCTGTTATGCGGAGCCCTAAGAGGGGCGTCGTCTGCTAACGTTCGTGACGTAACCGGAAGGGTCCGGTGTAGTGACTGAGACTGGCGACGACGAGTCGGCAGATATCAGAGACGCGCGTGTCACGTGACTTCTAAGATGGATGTCTTCAAAGTCACTGACATTCTCAAAGTAAGGACAGTCTTGTCCGAACGATGAGTAGTCGATCGAGGTAGACTTAGGCGTGATGAGCATCTAAGAAAAGATACTAGAGACTGAAGCTGAGGGGGCTTCAGAGGGAAGTATGTTCGAGGGAAGATTGAGTAGATTCAAGTTAGGGAATCTAGTACAGAGTGACTGACTACTTATACTAAGTGGAAAGGGTTAAGGGCAAGGCTACCGTACTGTAGGTAAGGGCAAAGGGGAAACGGAAAGGGTATAGGTATGCTGGTAGCAGAGCCTGATTAGTGATGTGAGGTCGAATGCGGAATGAGACCGAGAAACATTGGAACGAGCCAACGGTAAATGATACAATGCGCAGCATGCATGAGTCAGAGGAAAGATAAGACAAGATAAGGAAAGCCACATTGGTGGCACGAGTCAGAACGAGTCATAGCCCGAAGGCACGTGCGCATGTTGGTGTGATAGGAGGGGGATGAGGGATGCGAACGGTCCCGAGGATCCGGTCAACGGATAGTCGGTAGAGAAGTACGAGCCGGAGGCATACGAAAGCGAGGACGAAGGGGAAAAATGATAGGGGGGCCATGTAGCCGATGTTACTTGTAACACTCCTGGCCCATTGACTCTCAAAATACCAGCAAGGAATAGACCATTCTCACTAACCCTGCAGTTTAAAATTATATCTTCAACACCTGCTGATTTTATAAATTCTCACAAATGGAAAGCTAACAATTCTGCACCTTCTGATCCAACACCAACAGCATCAACCTACTCAAAAGGGCAAGCTGGCACCAATGCAAAGTCAAAGAAGACCACACTGTTGCCAAGCCTCTAGCAATCACATGTGTAAAACAAAATGGGCTTCATTGCATGAGGTCATGTATATCAGTTGAAGATGAGACTGCTGACTCTGACACAGCATCTGAGCTGGTCAAGAAAAAATATAAATGAGGTGATGGTGGTGCAGACATTCTGACGATCTTCAAGCTTGTTGATGATGGTAATCCCTCAGAAGGTTATGTCTGTGAGCCTTGTGTGTAAGTACCAAACTTGTGTTTCATATTCATCAGAGACTCACTTGACTTGTACTAGCAAGCTTCATGATGCCAATCCAAAAAAGCATGGCAAACTACAAAATATCTTCAAAGGCAACAACAATGCTATGTGTACTCACATCCAATGTATGGGTATGTCTCACTACCATCAATATTGTGAGAAGTGCCTGCAGCAAAACATCAACATGGACGAATGATGTGTTCCATAGGAAGAATTGGACTGCTTGGAATGCAAGGCAACCAATATGTAAATCACACACAATTCATTTTGAATTGTCAACTGACATGACTCTTTTTGATAGGCAATACAGCATTCTTGACTTTGCAGAGACTACGAAACCTATAATGAGGCCTAAGTATACAAAGGATGGTCTATGAGAGCAGATTATTCATTTTGTTCTGGAGACTAATCAGGTGCATGAATAAAGACATACTAATTTACCTACATATCAGCACTGACAATATCTGCCTAGGCACTATCAATTGTTGACCATAAGTCGTTTTGTGAACTCCTTGCTTACAGCAGTCAGAACAAAACGAAAGATACTGAAATCCCACATTGGATCAAAATCACCACCTGTGTTCTCAAATGTGCAGATGAAATTCAAAGGGATCTTTCCAAGGAATTACAGGAATCTCCTAGCCATGTTTCACTTACTTTTGATGGGTGGACATCAAAGATCATGGCATCATACCTTGCTGTAACAGGGCATTGGATGACAAGAGAATGGCAGCTGTGTTCTGAATTGTTATCATTCTCAGAGGTTTTGAGTATTTATACTGGTGAGAATCTTGGCAAGAAATTATATGATGTTTTGAGTGTGACATCTTCGAGAAGGTTTTGATTTGAGTTTTATACTATGCTGTATGTTGCTAATTCATGTCATGGTGCATATCAGATACAGAACATTACAGCTAACAATGTCTCTGTAAATGACAAAAGTTTGTGTGTCTTAGGCAAGACATTGATGGACAAGTCACATAACTTTAATGCAACAGCCTAGCGTTCACAGTTCATACTATCAAATCTCATGATTGTTTTTACTAAGTTGTGATAGCTGCTTCTCACATGCTGTGGCCCTTGCTAAAGGCACATTTTTGACAAAGTTATCTCAAGAAAATAACTTTGGTAGGAATGGATGAAGGTCCCATGATCCCACCAATTAATCCCAGTGCTGAAGATGAAGACATGGAAGACAGAATTGAGGCCCTTATCCAAAAGACTGATACTGCATATGCATCAGAACAGGTAAAATTAGTTTCAAGACTTCTGCTGAAGGTTTGAGGATTCATTGCAAAAGGTATCTTGCCCACTCTATTGAGGCCTGCTATTCATCATTGAATTTTACTGTCATGGCAGGTTTGATAGTCCCCACAAGCCAAGGACTACTTCAAGAAGTGCTGTGAAGATGCACTTGATCAAGAACTCAAACTTCTTCCATACTGTAAGACTCAATGAGGCTCATGGAATGGTATTATAGCTCAAATACTAGTACTCAAGAAAGTAAGCCAGACTTATTTCATTTAGCTCTTACATTCATTGTACTCAATTGTTTCAGGCCATTAGGATGTTTATCATACTGCAGATGACTCAGATGATGTACCCAATGTTGACAAAAACCAGCAGAAGTATGTGAGTTATTATATTTCAGACACTGAAGGGGATCTCCTCACTATGATATAAAAGGTGTTAGCAGTATGTATTTTTTTTGTTTCGAATGTTTGGGCTGTGAAGTTGTATTGACATCAATGACATGTATTTTAGGCAGCCACTAATATATAAGAAACCTTTGTGGCTGGATACTATCCAACAGTTTGGCAAAATATTTCACTTTACAAGGACTTTATCATCCAGTGGCAAACATTCTCTAAAGACCCTAAGATGGTAGTACTTTGACATGTGATCCAGGCAGGCATCATGAACCTTGAAAAGTACTATAATAAGACCAATAATTCCCCTGCACACCTTGTTTCTATGTGTTTGTTGAACTGGAAATACCACTTATTGTCACTTTAAAGCTAATGGGTACTTTATCTTAGCTCTCAATCCCTGCATCAAGGATGAATATTTCAATGTCACATGGACCAAAGATGGCCAACAACAAGCCCTTACTGTCATGGAAAAAGTGGTACATGTTGACTTCTATACTTTCAACATCAGATCTAATTATGCCTTTCAGTTTGACAAGTACTGCCAAAGATACTCCAAGGAAACTACTACTAGTATGAATTTACCAACACCAGAACTTGGTATCTCCAAGTCCAGCAATGGTTTTGGTAGTTTGATGAGCAGGGTGACTGAAGGTCAGCGAGCCCACAAAAAACTTGTCACTAAGGATGTCTACACAAAGCTCAAACTGTGTATTGAGGAGCCACTCACCATCAATGACCAATGGATATCTCTAGAGCACCAGGCAGAGCATATCTTCGAGTGGTGGAAGGCCAATGTCATGTGATACCCGATCCTCAGCCATATACATCAGTCCATACCTCTACAGCTAGCCTGCATCATTCACCCTTTGTTCCATCACTCTAATGTCATATCCCATATATCCACACATCTCGTTTGGACCATATCTGATCTGATCTGACGTATAGATATGCTTCCGATCCAATATACAATAAGCTCCTTAATTCATTTCCTATTCATATAACATTAACACAGCCTATTTGGTATTCCTTGTTTCTGGTGTAAAGATACAACAATTGCTGGATACTACATGAAGTAAGTAACTAGAAATATAAAGGTGTTGTAGTGGTCTAGCACAGCCTAGTCTGCTATACTTGCAAGACAACTGTGTTTGACCTGAGTGGTTTTCTATTGGAACAATTCTATAGGTAGTCAGTCGATAAACTGTCAAAAGTCCAATGTGGGTACAACAATTCAGATGGTGTATTTGAACAATGTGTTGGGTCTTGCAGAACCTAGCTGCTATTTGACCCTAAAGGATTTTTGGACCAGGTTCAAGGCTCAGAGAGGAAGAAATATGATAGAAACTTGCTGATCTCTCAGACTCATAGTAAAACTGGTGAAAATATTATTTTATTATGTAAGCTAAGATGCAAACATAACTATAGGTAAAACAGTCTCTGCAAGGCTAGCCAGGAATCATTCTCTACACCGAGTGCGAGAAACAATATCCAAAGATAATATTACGATGTCTGACGCCAAAGTGTCAGGTCTGATGTTTTTGGGTTTAGCAGGTTAGCAGATTTCAGATTCAGGTTCTGTGGATTTCAGGAAATGATGATAGCGAACATCAGAAAAGCGAGTGGTATGCGGGTTATCAATAGTGACAGGTGTTTCAGATAGAAAGAGTGGTGATATTTCGCAATATCAACTAAGAACTACGGAATATTGGGTTTTACCCCAAAGTGTCAGGAAAACAGCCCCCAACTACTTAGATAATGAATGTGCTATGTGGAAACCAATATATATAAGTATGTAGAAATACGACACCCTATAGGTGAAAGTAGCAGCCGAAGAATTTTGGGTCCAATGTACATGTAAATAAACACAAGGTGCTATGGACTATGGGAAAACATGTAATAGTGCTGGCTACAATGTGAGTAATGTGCAAAATAATCAACTATGCACCTAGTGGGGCTAGCAAGACAGGACAGGACACAGATAGGACAAGTGTGCAGGACAATATTGGGTCTGATGCGGCTGAAATGCCGGGTCCACTAGTCAAAGTGTTGGGTTTGGACAGAAAGAGGACAAGTGATTGAGCTGAAGGTGCACACACTGATGCACAACAAAAGTGCCTATGCTAGTAAGTGTGCACTGAATGAAATACAATACAGGTCACACTGTGCTATAGAAGTGCATAGAATGATGTGAAAATAGACCTCTATGGAGAAACAAATTTTTACTTTGGTGATAGCTTGACTAAGGCCAATGAAGATCAATGTCTGAGATACTGTCTATAAGCAAATATTTAAGGCATGTTTTTATGAAAAAAATGCAACATTCAACAGGTTTTAAACCTGTTGTACTCCAACAGAAAGAGATGTCTATTATGTCAGGATGACCACTTGGCTAAATACAACTCTGATGAGCTTGTAAGCAAATAGACCATAAGCATATGTCAAGGTGTGGTTTTATTAAAAAAATGAATTTTATCATTGGCAGGTTTCAAACCTGCACAGTCCAAAAGAAACATATTTTAACTCTAATAATCACTAGAAATTTCATCTTTAGTGGGTTTTGAACCCACACACATGAGTTTAAAACAGGTTTGAATTCTGTTGCAGCAACTACTTGACTAACACCAGTTAGATGCATCTTTAAAGAGACTATTAAGAAGTGAATCTGCAAGGCAAGTCTACCATTCCCTGTTACTCATGATATTTTCCCTCAGCTAAATAGATGAATTGAATACAGAATGTAATATAGCACTCTCAAAAAGTGAGAGGAGAGCAATAAGATGATGAAAGGTCTCAAATACAGCTTGAATATTTGCTTTGAATCTCAGCCTTGATAGATGTATATTCTTCCTCATTCCTCAGGTCATTAGAATCAAACTTGACATGTAATCTGGTCTTTTTCTTCAATCAAGTCAAGACCTTTGGAGAGAATTAAATTGTTTTTGTACTTATCATTCCAAGTTTACATCAAGGATACTTGCATTTGCCTCTGGTAATTCTTTAGCAAAAAAAATTCCTAATTTGTGCATGAAACCAACAGCAATATCAATCAAGCTTGAGATTATCAGTGGTAGATGAGATAAAAGAAGTAGAGATAGATATTTTACATAAATAAATTTTTGGGCCTGGTTAGATGAGATAGAAATTGATGTCTGAGCCTAAGAAGGTGCAATCCTTGCATTTGTACATCATTGCCTTCATCCCAGCCATGATATTTCACCTCATCACACTGGATGCAGACATCAATTTCTAACATCCCTCTTGGATCCAATCATATGTGATCCTTCCACTGTTACTTGTTACTTGTGGCTCAGACATTAACACCAAAACATCACAAACATTATGGGCCCACTGTGGTGGTCTGCCATCAGCACTTTTTCAGAGCAATTGCTAGATAAACAGGTCTTGAAGTCAAGAGTCTCAGAAGAAGTCTGTTATATTTTGCAATAAAAGCAGGATAAAAGAATCAACAGTGACCATCTGATTTAAGAAATAATGAAATGCAAATAAATGTGTCTTGAGGGTTCACTTCTAAACAAGTTCAGTGAAAGTGAATTTTACTGGTCTTAGCCAAGCAGTTGATGTGACAGAATCCAAATCTGTTTGTGTGGGTTCAAAACCTGCTAAAGATGAAATTGTCAAGTGATCATCAGAGTCAAATCTGTTTCTCTTGGACTGTGCTGGTTTGAAGCCTGCCAGTGATAGCATCTTTATTTTATAAAATCACACCTTGACATTGACTCATGCATATTTTCACATTGTAGCTCACACTCCCAAACATCTGCTTTATATGATGTTCTTAGATGCACTTTTCTGCATCTAAGAACATCTCTGGGCTCCATCTGATGTGGTTCTGCATCTTCAAAGATCTTGACTTGGTTGAAGAAGAAAAGCAGATTACATATCAAACTTTCAAGTTTGATCTCAATGACCTGGGTGATAAGGAAGAATACACATCTGTCAAGGCTGAGATTCAAGGCAAAGATTCAAAAGAGCCATCTGACCACTATTTGCTCATGTATAAGATGGGATGCACTGTGTTTGAGACCCTTTCATCATCATGTTGCTCTCCTCTCACTTTTTGAAAGTGTTGTATTACAGTTAGGGATCTGCACAGATAAACCCGCGGGTATCTCGAGGCCAACCCATACCTGTACCTGCCATGGGTATGTACCCATAGACACGGGTACGGGTATGGGTGCAGGTGCGTACCCATGGCAGGTGTACCTGCCCCCACCTGATCCCAGTAGCCACCAGTGCTTAGCGCACATGCCTGGCACACATCAGTGAATGCTGATGTGGCTCGGACGTATGCGGAGGACACTGGAGAGCGCCAGAAGAGTGGAAGGAGGGATGAGACAGGAAGAACAAGATGGAGGGTAGGATAAGGGCATGAGTGGTGGTAGTAGGGTGCGAGTGGTGGTAGTAGCACACTGTAAAGTTAAAGATATTAGTAAACGAGAAAAAAACAACATGCGCACCTGGAACAAGCAGTGAATGACTGAGAGCAATGAGCAAAAGATTAGCAAGTGAGAGAGTGAGAGCAGCAAGAAACGCACCTTTGCCGCTTAGAGCCTCAACCCAATCACTACACCCCTACAAGAGTTAGCTTAAAGGCTGGGAATCGGGTGCTGGTATTGGTGGTTATCATGAGATGAGAGTCAAGCGGTGGTGAAAGTGTGAAAACAAATATTTGTAAGCACGCTCGGCAGTACCTGCACAGGTAATGGGTACTCAAGACTCTGACCCGTACCCGTACCCGCTCAGTACCTGTACCCATGACCCATGCAGGTGACCCGTACCCGTGCGGATCCCTAATTACAGTCTGTATTCAATTTATCTGTTTAGCTGAGGGAAAGCATTGTGAGTGATAGGAAATAGGAGACTTGTCTTGCCGATTCACTTTTGAATGTTTTCTTTAAACATGCATTCCAATGGTGTTAGTCAAACAGTTGCTATAACAGAATCCAAATCTGTTTCAAATCTGTAGGTGTAGGTTCAAAACCTGCTAAAGATAAAATTCCCAGTGATTATCAGAGTCAAAATCTGTTGCTCTTGGACCATGTAGGTTTGAAATCTGCCAATAATTAAATTCAACTTTTTAATGAAACCACACCTTGATCTATGCTCATGGTCGGTCTGCTTACAAGCTCATCAGAGTTGTGTTTAGCCAAGTGGTCATCCTGACAGAATAAAAATATGTTTTTATTGAACTGCAACAGGTTTGAAACCTGTTGAATGTCATATTTTTTCCATAAGAACATGTCTTGAATATCTGCTGATAGGCAGTATCTCAAACATTGATCTTCATCAGCCTTAGTCAAGTTATCATCAGAGTCAAAATCTGTTTCTCTTGCACTTTGCGGGTTTCAAACCTGCCAGTGGCAATATTTTTATTCTATGCAATTACACTCTGACATTTCCTAATGTGGTTACAAAGTTATCAGAGCTCATCATTCCAAGAAGAAAAGTCAGACTGGACATCTGTATAGTTTCAGAAACTACAACCACTTGGCTGAACACAATTCTGACAAGCTTGTAAGCAAACTGATGTAGAGATTGATATCTCTGTGGGCTTGCAGGGATCTAAATTCCCAATGTTCCAATCACTCCCTAATATAGCGTGACTCATATCTCACCTCAGCGCACTTGAGCACTTCATTGGCCGCTTGTATGCACAAGTGCTTCAGTTGCACATTGGTGTGTGCATCTTCGGTTCTGTTGCTTGTCCTCCATCCATTTCATGTCTGTTTGGTTTGTCAGTGCATATTTCTATCATATTTCCATTTATTCTGACATATCCCTGGTGCTTATGGCCATATTCTGTATGTTTTGTCATGGACCCTCATATTACATATTATCTCATATCCACTTCACTTCTCAGTTTGCTTTAGTGCCTGACAGCACTTAATGCTACTTAGCATATATACTTGCGCCTAAAATGTATAATGAACATCTTTCTGCCCACACACTATTGGACTCTAAATCTAAGTTCTCCGTCACATTTACCGACTGACATTAAGTATCTAAGTACAATATGAGTGCCCACCACTGTACATTACTAGAAACTCTACTAGTTTGTCTTCCAACTCATTAAGAGTTGCTTTGCTCCACCACCCGCTGTAGGGATTCATTTCTGGCTGGGCTGGTAGAGACTGTTTTTACCTTACCTTATGTTGGCACTCTTGTAGCTTACATAATCAAGTTATCTTTTCACCAGTTACCAGTATGAGTCTGAGAGATCAGCAAGTTTTCATGATATTTCCTCTCCTCTGAGCCTTGAGCCTGGTCCAGAAACCCTTTAGGGTTGAATAGCAGCTAGGTTCTGCAAGACCCAACATTGTTCAGACTCACCATCTGAATTGTTGTACCTTCACCGCACATGCACATTACTGTTTGTAGTCACTCATCATCGCTTGCCATCGCTCATTAGCACTTCACATCACTTTCGCTCACTCGTGCTTCGCTCATTGTTGTGCGCCTTACCAGACTTGACCAACCGCCCAGTCCAGTGTTTCCCTCCATATATAAACTTAGAGGAACCTTCTCAGTAGCAATCCCCTTGGGTCAACACATAGCTCACTCATCGAGGACTACTTGAGTACATCTCATACCACCCATTTTCCTACACTACCAATTCCTCTTCTACACTGACCATGAGCATATGTAAAGGTGTGGTTTCATAAAAAATGAAATCAATCATTGGCAGGTTTCAAACCTGCACAGTCCAAGAGAAACAGATTTTGACTCTGATGATCACTTGACAATTTCATCATTAGCAGGTTTTGAACCCACGCAGATAGATTTTGATTCTGTCATATTAACTGCTTGGCTCAGAACAGATAGAAGCATTTGTAAAGAAAACATTCAGAAGTGAATTTGCAAGACAAGTCCACTGTTCTCTGTCACTTACAATGTTTTCCCTCAGCTGAACAGATGAATTACATAAATATAGACTGCAATACAGCACTTTCAAAAGCAAGAGGAGAGCAACATGATGATGACAGAGTCTCAAACACAGTGCACCCCAACCTTATACATGAGCAAATAGTAGTCAGATGGCTCTTTTGAATCTTTGCCTTGCATCTCAGCCTTGACAGATGTGTATTCTTCCTCATTACCCAGGTCATTGAGATCAAACTTGAAAGTTTGATGTGTAATCTGCTTTTCTTCTTCAACCAAGTCAAGACCTTTGGAGAGAATTAAATTGCTCTTGTGCTTATCATTCCAAGTTTGCATCAAGACTTTGGTCATAGATTGAACTTTGCATCAAAGATAAAAGAATAAACAGTAACCATGCTATTAAAAGAACTAACAAAATGCAGATTTGAATGTGCCTTAAGGATTCACTTCTGAATGAGTTCATTGGAAGTGCATCTCACTGGTCTTAGTCAAGCAGTTGATGCAACACAATCCAAATCTGTTTGTGTGAGTTCAAAACCTGCCAAGGATCAAATTGCCAAGTGATTACCAGAGTCAAAATCTGTTTCTCTTAGAATGTGCAAGTTTAAAACCTGCCAATGATAACATTTTTATTCTATGAAATCGCACCTTGACATTTCCTCATAATTAATATATGTTTTTTTTCCTGTTAGAACACACCTTGCCATCAATTCATGTATACTTTCCTGAGGGCTTCATATCACTGGTCTTAGTCAAGTAGATGTTGCAACACAGAGTCAAAATCTGTTTCTTTCAAACCATGTAGGTTCTAAACCTGCTTGCAAAATATTTTGCAGTGTATAGATTCTCAGAGACCCAAGTGCAAGAAAATAGGGACAGTTAGATATTTTGAAGTGTTCATCAAAGTGATATCATTTGTGTCTGTTTTATCTTCTTTAATGCAGCCCAGGTGTTACTGATTTGTACTAGTTTTGCAGCAGAATGTAGCAAGAATGCTTCTCTTGCATCTATATATTATGGTCTGTAGCTGAGAGTATCCTTCAGCATGATATAAAAATAAAATGATGAAAATATACTAGCAGTATTGAATTAGACAATTGATAGACATGTAATGTAGGGCGCACACAAAAATGCAGTGCTTAGTATGGGACAGGGTGTAATTTTATAAAATAAAAATGTTATCATTGGCAGGTTTTAAACCTACACAGTCCAAGAGAAACATATTTTGGATCTGATGATCACTTGCAATTTCATCTTTGACAAGTTTTGAACCTGCACAGACAGATTTGGATTCTGTTGTATTAACTGCTTGGCTAAGACCAGTTAGATGTGCTCCTAATGAATCCATTCAGAAGTGAATCCCCAAGGCACATTTATCCTGCATTTTGTCGGTTTTAACATTGATTTCTGACATCCCCCTTAAGCTCAACCATATGCAATCCTTCCATTGTCAGTTGTCACTCAACCTGCCAATGATGTTATCTTTATTCTATGAAATTAAACCCTGATATTTCCTCATGGATATATCATTTTCTTCAAAACCCATCATAAATGCTCTTTTCCACATCATTGCCACAATAGATTCAAACTATGTATGTTTCAATCAAAGCCTATAGGTTTGAAATCAGTCCTAGTTCAGGAGTTATAAAAAAAAAGTCAAAATCTGATTTTCCTGGACTAAGCAGGTCAAAAACATGTATCACTCAGCATATTTCAAACATACACAGTCCAAGAGAAACAGACTTTTATTCTGTTGTAACAACCACTTGACTAAGACTGGTTATAATGAGTTTTTGAGACAATCATCCATAAGAAAATGTTTGAGGTATATTTCAATGAACAACAAAAAATGTAATTATATAGGTTTTGAACCTGCTTAGTCCAGGATAATCAGATTTTGAATCTATTATGGGAATAACATGGCTAAGACCATTTAAGATGAATTTTTGAGAGAACTCTTTATAAGGAAATGTCAAGGTGCAATTTCATAGGGTAAAAACATTATCATTGGCAGGTTTCAAACCTAATAAATAAATCTGTCTGTGTGGGTTCAAAACCCACTAAAGATGAAATTGTCAAGAGATCGCTAGAGTCAAAATCTGTGTCTCTTGGACTGTGCAAGTTTAAAACCTTCCAAGGATAATTTTCATTTTCTATAAAAATGCACCTTGACATAGGCTCATGATCAGTTTGCTTTAAAACCACTGAGACTAGTGTTTAGCCAAGGGGTTGTCATAGCAGAATCAAAATCTGTTTCTATTGGAGTGCAATAGGTTTGAAACTTGTTGAATGTCGTATTTTTTTCTGTAAAAAAATGCCTTGAATGTTGGATCATAGACAGTATCTCAGACACTTATCTTCATCAGTCTTAGCTAAGTTATCACCAGAGTCAAAATCTATTTCTCTTTGAACTGTGCAGGTTTCAAACCTGCCAATGATAATATTTTTATCCTATGAAATCACACCTTGACATTTCCTTGTGAAGAGTTTTCTCAAAAACTCATCTTAAATGGTCTTAGCCATGTTATTACCATAACATCCTGCATAACACTTGTAAACTTTCATCATCTACTAGTACTTCCCATCATGCAGCTCACCTTTTTAGCCACAGCCAAACAAGTTATCAAAATGACTGAGAAGGCCAAAGCTGCTCTAGAAGAGCAGACTATCAGAACTTTGTCAAAGAAGCATAAAAACAACAGCAGTAGAGATAGTGGGAACATGAACCTAAAAAAGGCCAAAAAAACCCTACTGCCTGGTAACACTCCCACCAATGGTGCAGGATCTATGGATGAAGATAAGCCAGTTAACAAAAATAGGCCTGTAACAGCACTATTGTCTTCATGTCCAGAGTTGATTTCTAGTCAGCAGGCTGTTGTGCATACTGAGGAAGAAGAGAATACATTGTACAAAGATGACGAGATGGCAGAAGACAAGCTCTGTATGTGCAATAACCTCAATGCAAATATCATATCAATCAAGTACAAAACAGAACACCTTATAAGAAATTTGAACTCACTAGTCTACGCATTTTTTGATCCAACACCACAGATTATTGAAATAGATGGCCACTATGCTCATTATTTCAAGTGTCAATGGCAAAGAGAAAGTTATGTACTCCAATCATCAACATTCAGGGATGATGGATGAGGTATGTGATGAAGACAGATTTGTTGATGAGGCTGAGTTGTTAAATGAGAGAGTGTGTGTGTTGCATTGCACTAAACAAAGGGATTCAACCAGTCAAGTTAGTGCTTGTCGAGGTAAGTGCATGCAAGAAAAGAAAACTCACCACTGAATTCAACTGATTCCTTAGGTGTGCAAGCTTGCATGAAAAAAAAAATCAATGTCTGAGATACTGTCTGTGAGCAAATATGAAAGCCATGTTCTTATAGAAAAAATATGACATTCAACAGGTTTTGAACTTGTTGTACTGCAATAGAAACAGACTTTGACTCTGCTATGACAGCCACACGACTAAACACAACTTTGATCATCTTACAAACAAACCGACTATAAGCAAATTTCAAGGTGTGTTTTCATAGAAAATGATTTTAATCATTGGTAGGTTTTAAACCTGCATGGTCCAAGAGAAACAGATTTTGACTCTGGCAATTACTTGGTTATTTGACATTTGGTAAATTTTGAACCCACACAGACAGATTTAGATTCTGTTGTATTAACTGCTTGGCTAAGACCAGTGGGGTGCACCTCTGATGGACTCAATCAGAAGTGAACCCTCAAGGCACATTTATCTGCATTTGACCACCACACAAAATGGTGGGATGCAATGACTCATGAGCTTGCATTCAAGGCAAGTTTTAATGGCAAAGGAAAAACCATGTTATTATATAGGTTTTGAGCCTACTCAGTTTAACAGAAATAGATATAGAAAATGTCCATGGGCAAATGATTACTTAGAGGGATTTAGGATTGACAAAGATAGACCTTCAGAGTGTGTAGAGTTCAAAAAGTGTGCAGATCAGAGTCATGGCAATGACATGGCTAAGATCATTTAAGATGAGTTTCTCAGAAAACTAGGTGTGTTTTTATAGAATAAAAAAAAATTATTGACAAGTTTTGAACCTGCATAGTCCAAGAGAAACAGATTTTGATTCTGATGATCACTTGGCAAATTTATCTTTAGCAGGTTTTGAACCCACACAGAGAGATTTAGATTCTGTCATATTAACTGCTGGACTAATACCAGTTGAATGCACTTGCAATAAAACCAATCAAAAGTGAATCCTCAAGGCAGTTCTTTCAATAGTATGGTCACTGTAACACTCCGATCAGTGCTGAGCACGTGTTCTGTCAAAATCACATATTGCATTCCTCGACACTCTTCTGATCTTCTGAGAGTTCCATGTGTTCATCTGAGTCATCTGAAGGTCGTCCATCTACATCTGAGGCCTGTTTAGCTTTTCTAATCCTCCATACCATGTCCTGTCCTTGTCTGTTTGACTTTTCTGGTGTGTTTTTCACTTGGTTATCAGTTATTGATTATGTTTAGGGGCACATACATCGAAAAGCCTTGTTAATATGTATAGATATGCACCTCGTGCATTATTACATGCATACCTCATAGCGACTCGCCTTGACTCTTATTACATTTCAGATGGCTTATCTCACTACAGTTTTTGCCTATGCAGATTCCGGACTTTCATGTAGTAGGATATAATCTGGCTCACTATTTACTCGCAACTCACTTCACTTCCCTTGCTATGAGTCATAGTTAGTAGAGTCACTTTCGGATATCAGTACTTCATGCAATCAATCTTTTTGTTCATTCGGAATAATTGTTTGGCCTGACTGCTGCCATTTTGCTTATTGATTTTCTTAAGTCTTTTGATGGACTTTGCACAGTTATACTGTGCAAGTCCTATACTTCAACATAACTACCATACTCATCTCCGGAAACCTCATTGTTTCACCAAACATTCTTCAGAAGCTTTGCGCAACTTTGGACCTTTGTTTCTTGACATCAGACCTCATTCAGACACATTGGACCAACACTTCAGACAGCTCTTCAGAACTCTGAACGTACTTGAGGTACCTTTTCCTTCTCTCACCTTCGATCTTAACAAGACAATCCCTTGCATTTTATATCAAGAGATAGTTCTATAGGCAGTCTCTTTGGGATGAACATCTTACTCACACATTGAGTCTCAAGGTATCACCTTTTATATAGCCCACACAGAATCAACTCTTTACATCGCCATGACTGATTCTTTTATTTTACTCTTATTGCAAAAGACATCAGACCTGTTTATCTAGCAATTGCTCTGAAAAAGTGCTGATGATAGACCACCATAGTGGGCCAATGATGTTTGTCATGTCTTGGGATATTAACAGCTGGGTCATGAGTGAAAACCAATGATGGAAGGATCACATATAATTGGACTCAAGGAGGATATTGGAAACTAATACTAGAACTGACAAAATGCAGACAAATGTATCTTGAGGATTGACTTCTGAATGGACCCCTTGGTAGTGCATCTAACTGGCCTTAGCCAAGCAGTTAATGTGACAGAATCTAAATCTGTCTGTGTGGGTTCAAAACCTGCTAAAGATGAAATTGCAAGTGATTGTCAGAGTCAAAATCTGTTTCTCTTGGACTGTGTTAGTTTGAAACCTGCCAATGATAATATTTTTATTTTATGAAATCACACAACCAGTGAGATGGTGCTCTCAGGAAAGTACACATGTGTCCATTATAAGGTGTGTTCTAATAGGAAAAAACATATAGATCAGTATCTAAGATGCTGTCTATGAGGAAATATTCAAGCGATGTTCTTAGATACTTTTGCCTATTTGCTGCACTTCTAACTTGCTTCTGCACACTAAGAACACACTTAGAATTACTTACATAGCACCATGTATCTTTTGACTCTGAACAACTTTCCACCATCATGTTGCATATTGTGGGACTCAAAGTCTAAAATACACTATAACTGCTATTTGATACTGAGCGCTTGAAATCATCTAAGCGCAGAATGTTGCACTATTGTCTAGATACTTCTGCTTTATCTCAGAACTTCCTCAGGTCATTAGAATCAAACTAGAAAGTTTGATGTGTAATCTGCTCTTTTTCTTCAACCAAGTCGAGACCTTTAAAGAGAATTAAATTGTTCTTGTACTCATCATTCTGAGTTTGCATCAAGACTTTGGTCATACATTGAACTTTTGTGCCTTGGGGGTTCACTTCTGAATGAGTTCATTGGAAGTGCATCTCACTGGTCTTAGCCAAGCAGTCAATACAACAGAATCTAAATCTGTCTGTGTGGATTCAAAACCTACCAAATGTTAAAGAGCCAAGTAATTGCCAGAGTCAAAATCTGTTTCTCTTGGACCGTGCAGATTTGAAACCTACCAAGAATAATTCTCATTTTCTATAAAAATGCACCTTGATATATGCTCATAGTTGGTTTGCTTCAAAGCTCATCAGAGTTGTGTTTAGCCAAGTGGTTGTCATCACTCCATTGGAATGAAATAGGTTTGAAACCTGTTGAATGTTGCATTTTTTTCTATTAGAACATCTCTTGAATATTTCCTCATAGACAGCATCTTAGATACTGATCTATATGTTTTTTCCTATTAGAACACACCTTATAATGGACACATGTGTACTTTCCTGAGAGCACCATCTCACTGGTTGTGTGATTTCATAAAATAAAAATATTATCATTGGCAGGTTTCAAACTAACACAGTCCAAGAGAAACAGATTTTGACTCTGACAATCACTTGCAATTTCATCTTTAGCAGGTTTTGAACCCACACAGACAGATTTAGATTCTGTCACATTAACTGCTTGGCTAAGGCCAGTTAGATGCACTACCAAGGGGTCCATTCAGAAGTCAATCCTCAAGATACATTTGTCTGCATTTTGTCAGTTCTAGTATTAGTTTCCAATATCCTCCTTGAGTCCAATTATATGTGATCCTTCCATCATTGGTTTTCACTCATGACCCAGCTGTTAATATCCCAAGACATGACAAACATCATTGGCCCACTATGGTGGTCTATCATCAGCACTTTTTCAGAGCAATTGCTAGATAAACAGGTCTGATGTCTTTTGCAATAAGAGTAAAATAAAAGAATCAGTCATGGCGATGTAAAGAGTTGATTCTGTGTGGGCTATATAAAAGGTGATACCTTGAGACTCAATGTGTGAGTAAGATGTTCATCCCAAAGAGACTGCCTATAGAACTATCTCTTGATATAAAATGCAAGGGATTGTCTTGTTAAGATCGAAGGTGAGAGAAGGAAAAGGTACCTCAAGTACGTTCAGAGTTCTGAAGAGCTGTCTGAAGTGTTGGTCCAATGTGTCTGAATGAGGTCTGATGTCAAGAAACAAAGGTCCAAAGTTGCGCAAAGCTTCTGAAGAATGTTTGGTGAAACAATGAGGTTTCCGGAGATGAGTATGGTAGTTATGTTGAAGTATAGGACTTGCACAGTATAACTGTGCAAAGTCCATCAAAAGACTTAAGAAAATCAATAAGCAAAATGGCAGCAGTCAGGCCAAACAATTATTCCGAATGAACAAAAAGATTGATTGCATGAAGTACTGATATCCGAAAGTGACTCTACTAACTATGACTCATAGCAAGGGAAGTGAAGTGAGTTGCGAGTAAATAGTGAGCCAGATTATATCCTACTACATGAAAGTCCGGAATCTGCATAGGCAAAAACTGTAGTGAGATAAGCCATCTGAAATGTAATAAGAGTCAAGGCGAGTCGCTATGAGGTATGCATGTAATAATGCACGAGGTGCATATCTATACATATTAACAAGGCTTTTCGATGTATGTGCCCCTAAACATAATCAATAACTGATAACCAAGTGAAAAACACACCAGAAAAGTCAAACAGACAAGGACAGGACATGGTATGGAGGATTAGAAAAGCTAAACAGGCCTCAGATGTAGATGGACGACCTTCAGATGACTCAGATGAACACATGGAACTCTCAGAAGATCAGAAGAGTGTCGAGGAATGCAATATGTGATTTTGACAGAACACGTGCTCAGCACTGATCGGAGTGTTACAGTGACCATACTATTGAAAGAACTGCCTTGAGGATTCACTTTTGATTGGTTTTATTGCAAGTGCATTCAACTGGTATTAGTCCAGCAGTTAATATGACAGAATCTAAATCTCTCTGTGTGGGTTCAAAACCTGCTAAAGATAAATTTGCCAAGTGATCATCAGAATCAAAATCTGTTTCTCTTGGACTATGCAGGTTCAAAACTTGTCAATAATTTTTTTTTATTCTATAAAAACACACCTAGTTTTCTGAGAAACTCATCTTAAATGATCTTAGCCATGTCATT